TCCCCCTCCCTCCAAGACCAATTAAAAGTTGGTTCTAATCAAGGTAACTGGGGTGGGTCTTGATTTATCTAAAGAAGTCATAGTAATCCCATTCTTGCTAAGTGATCAGGAGTCCCACCCCAGAATGTGAGATTCAGAACATGGCATTCCCCTGGCCACAGGGATTGGCCCAGGAATGGGTTCCTGACCCAGTTCGAGTCAGCGAGGATGGGCTGCTAGGGAAGGGTCATAACAAGAGAGATTTTCTCAGTCAACAAAAGTGTGTCCCTCTGACTGCTGATAGCTGCATTCTTTAGGACAGGGCCAGCCAGGCAGGACGAAATTCACACTGTAGTTGACAGAGCAGAGGAACAGACATGGCCTGGGTCCTGGCTGACATCGTGAACCCCAGGATCCACCAGTGCTCTGAACCTGCTCTTATATGAGCCATTATGCACCCTTTAACCAGTTTGTGCCAGGTTTCTGCTGAGGCCCCTGAAATCATCATGGGTGGTGAGCTGCCCTCCCACAGCTCACCAGATCAGGAGATACCGGATTGATCTCACCAGCGTCTCTTAAACTTGTCGCTTCTGTATCCCTACCGCCTTGGCCAACCTCGTGACTTCTCTCCTGGGCTCCTGTGAAGATCTCCTCCCTCGCTGACCTCCAGCTCCATGTCCTTCTAGTTCACTGTCCACGTGCTGCCCCATGAGTTAAGGACGAAGAGCTGAGCGTGTCACTTCTTTGCTTCAGATCCTCCTCTCCACACGACTGTCTCCGGCTCAGTTCTTTAAGCTAACTTCCATCTGCTGCTGAAAGAAGCCTTTTCTGACACCCTTCAAGCTGCCCCATGTTTTCTTTCTTTTTTGGTACCGGGATGGAACTTGGGTCCTTGTGCTTGCAAGGCAGGTGGCGGCACCACTGAGCTAAATCCCCAGCCCCTGCCCCATGTTTTCTTTGGCCAAACATAGACCCCACTATAAGAGGTACGGTATCACACTATGATTTTTCTCTTTCTTGTTTTGCTCACTGTATGGTGGATTGTTGAGAGGTTCGTGTTCCAGGCTCGTCAGACACCAAGTTTGTTCAGCGAGTACAGCCAGAATTAAGTTTTGCCTAACCTGTGACATATAAGCAGGGCACTAACCAAACAGGTAATTCAGTATGGTGTTAAGAACACTGGACTACAATTCACAAGGCCTGACCGTTTGTTCTGATTTCACCACTTTTGAACTGTTAGGCCCTCACGGAAGTGTCTTAGCTCTCATGCACATCAATTTGTCATCTAGCAAATGGAACCCTGCAGTTGTGCAAGGGGTAGCATAGTCTACTCCAGTGATGGAGAACCTTTTAGAGCTTCCAAGGGTACAAACAGCCTACAGCCACACGTGTGCCAGAGGTTCGCCATTACTGTACCCTCTACCTTTCTTAAGGGAATGACTATTTTGCCTGCGAATTTCACATTCATCATGAAGACTCAGAAGGGGGAAAGTACTAATGTGATGGAAAATAAAAAGGAAACACCAAATTCTTTCACAACACATTTATTATCCATAATTTATAGCAGGAATAACAGGATTATTTTCTAAAGGCATGGAAAAGAGAATAAAGAAGGTGATTGTGATCATTGGAGGCGATTCAAAAGACCACCAGACCACACTATTGGCAAAATAGAATGCTGCTCCCACTGGCAGTCAGAGCACAGAAATGAAGGCTGCCTAGTACTAAAATAGCCTAATCTGGCTGCTCTAACCTTCACAGAGAGGAAGACAGAGGATACTGGTGGAAGAGAGTGACTACTCCTCAAACAGAGAGTGATTTAATACCACTGGCTATGTGACAGATAAACTCATGCCTCAAAATCACTACACTTGGGTTTTTCCACCACCATTTATTTTGGTTGTTTGCACATGACAACAGCAGCGTTTGTTGGTGACCAGATTCAAAGGACTGGGCATTGCAGGAGGACACAAACAACAAGGCGGGACATACAGCCAGTTCAGCAGCTTTCCCTCCTTCAATGATCACAAGGTCAGAGGAGCCCATGGCTGCCTTGAGGGCTTGATGTGGTCTTGGATCACACTAAATGTATACCTTTTACCTAACTGCTGGTGTTTCCTCCATCTCAGACTTTGGAAATCTTTGGATGTGATGAAAATGTGGCTTCATGGCCAAAACGGCAGCCCGGAGCCTGTGGCTGGCTGGTTTTATTTTTAGAATTACAGGAGACCTTCATCTTGCTTTTATGCTTAACGTCAGTTTCCCAAATGTAGAAAGCAGAGGAGGCTACAGCCACTTGGGGGAGTAGCAAAGTCCTGGGCTTTGTGGTCAGATGGACCAGGATGTGTCTCAGGCTCAGCACCTCCTAGTCATGTCAGTAAGTTAAATTCTTTGAGCCTTGTTTTCCCCATCTATGATATGGGAATAATGAATACCTACTCATTTTATTGCTTCACTCATTTGCTAAGTGCCTTCTAGGCACCAGACAATATCCTACATCAGACTCCAAAACAAATGAGTGAAACAGATGCAGCTCCCGTCTACATGGTGCTTATATGCTATCGTGAGAAATAAATAAGAGACAGAAAAGCACATGGTACCATGCCTGGCCTTTTTTTTTTTTTTTTTTTTTTTT